ATGAAAACCAAACAAAGCAAATATTTGATAAAGTAGTACCCACTTAAATATTCAAAAAATTGATAACAAAAGTACCGTTAAACTGGTACCTAAGGACCGAAATCCCTTAGTCCGGAACTAAAGGCCCGCCCATACAGCGCTGGTTTATGTGGATAAGGTTAGATACCCTAATAGACAAAAAATTAGTTTGCTACGTTGTCGTGATCACGTCACGCTTTTTATAGAGCTTTGGTAGCGGTCGTGATCCGTGATTTTTGGATATCAGTGATTCAATCACAGTTCGTGATATATCGCTCATCACTACGTCAATTTCTCGTACAATTTTTAAAAACAACCTAATTATGATCCGAATCGCTGTACCTACGTTTGCTGTACAAAATCAAATGCTGGATAGACTTTCAAAATGCTGTATGTACAATACAGCGAAATACTGTACGTATGGTCATCCCAAGCTTATAATGCGCATGCGTTTTCTGAAAATGAGGATTATTTTTGATCCAGTAGAATAAAAGCATGTTTTGTTTTGATTTGATGAATGGTGAAATCCTAAACTAAACACAAACTACGTACAACCAAGAACCATAAAACGAGTGTTCAATGGGTGACGCCATCTATTTACGAATCAAAAATTATTGTTATATCGAATTTAGATATAGAAATACAAATTAATTAGAACATCGACATTAGACTGTAGGCAGTAGGCTTCTGAGAATTTGGAAAAAAAAATTGAAAATTGTACCAAATATGCCAACGTCGTATAGCAGCGCACTTTTTCAAAGCGAATGGTACCAAATTTGGTACAATTGTACCATCTCTGGCAACACTGCTTTGGATGTAGTTTTATCTGGGTATTAAGTCTCAGATATTTTCCCTTCCCTGATCCTTTTCCTCATATACATTTGTGTCTCCGAATTTCCAAGTACCTGGAAAAACCTGGAAATTGAAATATCGTCTTTGGATTAGTTTTCTAAACTAAATGTAATAAAATCAATAGCGATCTCAAGAATCAGACATCGAATTGGGTTTTTAGGTAATTAATTTGAAGCGGAGAAGAATAGAAATGGTAATGATATTGACGGTATTAATACGTCGTCCAAATATGCCGTAGCTGTTTCGAATCGCAAAAAGCCTGATACTTGGTTTATTGTTCTCTGAAAAACAGCAGGAGCATTTACAAGTCCAAATGGCAATCGCAGGAACTCGTAGTGTTTATCTGGTGTTACAAACGCAGTCTTCGGAATTGAATCTTTATTCAATGTGATCTAATGGTATCAAGATGCTAGGTCTAAGGTTCGTAAAATAGAATTCCCTTTCATAAAATGCCATGCGATAAGGACGATATGTAATAGGAATATCATCAGTTAGCGATATCGCCATTTCTGTGGATAACGCAACTACAAGAAAGGGTCCGCATAAATTATACAGTATCTGAGCTCCATCTTTATATTGGAGGTTGCAGTACGGTTACATTTTATTGACTGTGGAAAATGCAACGCTAATAATTCCTTCTCTAGTTTACTTGTATCACACAATAGTATTCCTGAATATTTATTCTCAATCAGTCGTAAAAAAATCTCGACAGCCTCAGATATTTTTCATCCCTGATTCTTCTCCTCACCTACATTTTTGTCTCCGAATTTCCAAGTACCTGGAAAAACCTTGACATTGAAATATCGCGTCTTCGGATCAGTTTTCTAAACTAAATCTAATAAAATTAATAGCGATCCCAAGAATCGACCATATCGAATTGGGTTTTCAGGTAATTAGTTTGAAGCGGAGAAGAAAAGAAATGAACGTCCAAGAATAAATATTTTGCCCATTTCGAGGGAGTAATTACGCACGGGGAAGGAAACGGTGAAATTTACGAAAGTCTTAGCCTAGACGAACGCCGGACGTGCTAATTACTCGTGCCTCGTCAAAATGCGACCGTACGTGATCTATGGGATTTGTAGGTGCCCATATTGACAAATCGATATTGATACATCAATATACTATAAAGATTTCATTCAAATTGGCAATCACATCCAAAGACAAAAGTGCTTAGAGTGTTCTAAAACTACTATATGACTATACCTATTATTGGTATCGGTTTTTTCAAATTAAGTATATCACTTTCTTCGGCGCAACAATGCCATACTACTACGAGGAGGATTTCTTCAATGAAGGCGAAGAAGAGAGCGAGATGGCTTAAGCCTTTGGCAAATGGGGGGGAACAAGACGATCGTCGAAGAAGAAGAGTTACACTTTGTTTTTAGTTGTTTCACGTGGTCGACGAAGATGATTCTTCGGAGTTAATAGTAGTGATTTAGGTGTTGACAAAAGCAGTTGTTGGAACAAGGAACCGATTCTGTTTTTTTTTTCCGACGAGTTTAACAACGGTTCAATAATAATGTGATTGATGATTGGTTGGCGATAACTGAAGAACAGTTTTTTTTTTTTTGATTTACAGATTTTTGATACAAAGTTTGAGGTAAGATCAATGAGGGTTGGTGATGTCTTTTATAATGTAATCTAGTGGTTAGTTTAGAATTAATGTCAAATATGTAACTAAGTCTAAAGAATTTGACATTTCTCAAATTTTGTATAGTCAAAATTTGATATTATTCTTGTATACTCCCCAAAAAAAAATGTTGATTCTGCTTTGCTGATTGATACAAACATACTTTCACAGGCTTTGTGATAAGGCACTGAAAATTACAGTCTTCAACTAGAAAGTACTTGGCAAAAGGCCCTTCGTGAAACTATTTCTGGTTTTCGTTCAGTAACTTCTCGTTTTTTGAAAATATATTCTGTTTATCTTTTTGATTTCAATGTCTGGTCAAAATTTGTTGGATTCAAATTGTTGAAGAGAATAATGGAATCTGTAATCATCAAATATTGAAGAAATTTTGAAAATTCCTTTGTTGGATTCCTGGAACATTAATCCTGCTGCGTCTAACAACATATCTAACTTACAATGTCTCCATATGCGATTTTTATATTGTTGAATTTAATCACAAGAAAATCAATATTATAAGTCAATGGTGAATTGAATTCTATTTGAAAAATCAATGTTTACTAGTTGAAAGCCTACAATTTCTAAAACCCAAATCATCTTATTTGTTATAGACTCTAAAGGAAATATTTCATCTAAAAGCTTCCACCATTATCATCGTCTATTGTTTAGTTTTCTCTTGTACAATAATTGACCATTTGCCATATTGTCACGCGTGTAATTTTGCCTAATTTAAACATTACTTACACCGAAATAAATAGCTGAGAGCTGTCAAGCAAAGGTGTGGCCCTGGTTAATTTACTGTAGGCATACACATAGTTATTTCCTATTTTTTGAGCGAAAATAATTGTCAGTACATGAATACACGGCATGGGAAACAAATAATACAGGATGTTACACATGAAGAGAAGTCTTTGGGCATCGGTTGTTAATGTTTGAATATAGAATTTTGGAAAGTACAATTTCCTTCATTTAGAAATTAGTCAAAGCTTCGATGTTTCCATAAGGTTGCAATATGAAAAATTAAGGCAAAAATGATGAAGGAGTCTCAGCTCAGCTGATTTCCCTCTATCCATTTGTAACCTTTTCTTTTCAAATAATCTACTCCTAATTAGAATACAGATATATATGTTTTAGATTATTTCTGTTGAAAAATTCCTTACAATTATTAAAGGTGCACAAAGCTTTATTCTCAACTTCTTAGAGTAGTACTTAGAATAAAACACCGATATCCGAGTACAAAAAAAAAACTTAATCTCCGCTAATTTTTTACATGATGATATACCTTCAAAAACCACCTATGGTGTTCCTTTGTCTAGCCATTAGCTGTACTTGCGAGACCGGTTCACCATAGGCGAAAAATTAACATTTCATTGTCGGAAACGCATATTTACTTGAGAAGATATTTTAGCTCGCGGGGTCACACCAGAGATTTTGGTTTTTGGAGATCGGATGGGATCTTGCCACAAATTTTCGAATTTTGACTGAGCCACCCAAAAAGCACGAACGTGAGAACCGAAAAGCGAAGCGTTGGCGGGCGACCGCCCCGCGCCGACCCGTGGGCGACGATAAATTCACTGTGCACTGTCAGACGCTATCGCACCGCGGCCATCTGTCAGGAGTTTTTTTGATTTGTCAATCGGGAAATCGGAAACCGAAAAGAAAAAGCTTGAATAAAGCTTATACTTAAATTGTGACTCAGTTCTGTTGGAGATGTATGGATCTTCGAAACACGCAGAAGTTCCAGCAGGATAAGATAACTTTTAATAAAAAATACGTTGGTCTTCAGAAACACGCTTTTTGCATGATAATTGCAATTACATACTCAGCGACCAGCATTGTCAACGTTTATTTCTCTACAAAAGTAACGCTATCTAATAAACAAACTTCAGACAGTGTTGGTAGATCGGTGTAATTGAAATTCCCCATACAAGCGCCAAAAATTCCCTAGATTGATATAAAAATCCCTAGTTTCAGAATATGTATATTCGATTTCTAGTACGGGGGAATCCCGCATCTGTTTCGTATCTTTCTCTATTTGTACGCTTTAGACAGAGATATTCGATCTATGCAAGCAACCTGCAATAGAGATTGTTTTTCTTTTCTCTCTCTAACACATTGTACTAAGAGGCATAAACGGTGTATTTTCATTGCTATTATTATTTATCATAAATAAAAATCATAATGCAAACCACCTAGGAATTTTTTGCCAAAAATGTGGGGAATTTAAAGGAATTTGTGGGAAATTTAGAGGAATTTGTGGGAAATTTGAAAGAAGTCATCGAAATTTATGAGAATTTAGGGAATTTGGAACTAGGTATTTTTATGTGGAATTTGGGAGAATTTGTGAGGAATTTGAAGGAAATTGTAGGGTCATGACATCACTGAGGTTCACATTCTTATTATAAGACAGTAATAAATGGAAATTTTAAATAAAATCTAGTTTTGTGTTGGACATTTTTATTAAAGAAATCCTCCTAAAATTAAACTTCATGATTCACAGGAATCACAGGCCCAAATTTAAAAAATTCAAAACAATAAGGAATACAGTTTTTGTAGGCTGTTTTCCAAAATTTTTCATGTTACTGTTTTTCACTGGAAAAATTTAAAACTTTGGGAAAATGAGCTTCGTACCTTCCTCTCTACATGCAAAAAGTTTCAAAATTTTTCCTTCACTAGTTTTCCAGGAAAACTTTGAAATGTGTAAGACTGTATTTCCAATTAACTCAGTTATTGTAGGTTGATTTCCAAGATTCCTCATGTTGTAATTTTTTACTGGAAAAATTTGAAATTTTGAGAAAATGAGTTTCTCACCTTCCTCGTATACAAAAAGTTTCAAAATTTTCCCTTCACTAGTTTTCCAGGAAAACTTTGAAATATTTGAGACTGTATTTTCAACTAATTCAGTTTTTGTAGGTTGATTTCCAATATTTCTTATGTTGTTATTTTCAACTAGAAAAATTTGAAATTTTAGAAATATGAGCTTCTCACCTTCCTCTTTACATGCAAAAAGTTTCAAAATGTTCCCTTCTCTAGTTTTCCAAGAAAACTTTGAAATATGTGAGACTGTATTTTCAATTAATTCAGTTATTGTATGTTGATTTCCAAGATTCCTCATGTTGTAAGTTTCTACTGGAAGAATTTGTAATTTTGGGAAAATGAGCTTCTTACCTTCTTCTCTACATTAAAAAAAGTTTCAAAATTTTCCCTTCACTAGTTTTCCAGGAAAACTTTGAAATATGTGAGACTGTATTTTCAACTAATTCAGTTTTTGTAGGTTGATTTCCAATATTTCTTATGTTGTTATTTTCCACTAGAAAAATTTGAAATTTTATAAATATGAGCTTCTCACCTTCCTCTTTACATGCAAAAAGTTTCAAAATGTTCCCTTCTCTAGTTTTCCAGGAAAAATTTGAAATATGTGAGACTGTATTTTCAATTAATCCAGTTATTGTATGTTGATTTCCAAGATTCCTCATGTTGTAAGTTTCTACTGGAAGAATTTGTAATTTTGGGAAAATGAGCTTCTTACCTTCTTCTCTACATTAAAAAAAGTTTCAAAATTTTCCCTTCACTAGTTTTCCAGGAAAACTTTGAAATATGTGAGACTGTATTTTCAACTAATTCAGTTTTTGTAGGTTGATTTCCAATATTTCTTATGTTGTTATTTTCCACTAGAAAAATTTGATATTTTAGAAATATGAGCTTCTCACCTTCCTCTTTACATGCAAAAAGTTTCAAAATGTTCCCTTCTCTAGTTTTCCACGAAAACTTTGAAATATGTGACACTGTATTTTCAACTAATTCAGTTATTGGAGGTTGATTTCCAAGATTCCTCATGTCGTAATTTTCTATTGGAAAAATTTGAAATTCTGGGAAAATGAGCTTCTCAGCTTCCTCTTTACATGCAAAAATTTTTGCTTCACTAGTTTTCCAGGAAAACTTTGAAATATTTGAGACTGTATTTTCAACTAATTCAATTTTTGTAGGTTGATTTCCAATATTTCTTATTTTCCACTAGAAAAATTTGAAATTTTAGAAATATGAGCTTCTCACTTTCCTCTTTACATGTAAAAAGTTTCAAAATTTTCCCTTCACTAGTTTTCCAGGAAAACTTTGAAATGTGTGAGACTCTATTTTCAATCAATTCAGTTATTGGAGGTTGATTTCCAAGATTCCTCATGTTATAATTTTCTACTAGAAAAATTTGAAATTCTGGGAAAATGAGCTTCTCACCTTCCTCTTTACATGCAAAAAGTTTCAAAATTTTCCCTTCACTAGTTTTCCAGAAAAATTTGAAATATTTGGACTGTATTTTCAACTAATTCAGTTTTTGTAGATTGATTTCCAATATTTCTTATGTTGTTATTTTCTACTGGTGTACGCTCCAGGAGACTCTAGTTCTCTGGATAGTATTTTCTGCTTGATCCCGATGGTTTAGGATAGAAGAGCAGAAGGGCCTTAGTACCAGACAGGACTTAAAGTCACGGCACTTGCACTAGGGCGTAAGATAGGTAACTTACAACCAGACTAGAGCACTTGTTGTAAGTTGGAAAAAAAGGACCCAAGCCAGACAAAGCACTTGCTATAAGGTTTAAATTAAACCTGTAACCAGACAAAGCACTTGCTACAGGTTTAGAGAAGGGCCTAATGTAACCAGACAGAGCACCTGCTACAATAAGGCTAAAGAAAAGTAATTGTTAGAGCGCAGTCTCACGACTCTACTAGCGTTGCTAGGCCAATGGTGACTTGGGCACAATTTAAGTAAGAGAAACAACAATAAGTTTGAATCTGATTTTATTAATGAAATTGATCACCTTTTATATACAATAAATGCTGATTTTGCACACATCGATTGTCGTCATTTCCAATAATAAAAGTAGGTTGCTTATAATTAATTAATGCTGTTTTCCACTGGAAAATTTCGAAATTTTGGGAAAATGAGCTTCTCACCTTCCTCTTTACATGCAAAAAGTTGCAAAATTTTCCCTTCACTAGTTTTCCAGAAAAATTTGAAATATTTGGACTGTATTTTCAACTAATTCAGTTTTTGTAGGTTGATTTCCAAGATTTTTCATGTTGCTGTTTTCCACTTGTAAGAGACATTTGTAGGAAATTTGAGAAGAGTTTGGAGGAATTTGTGAGAATTTGAAGGAATTCGCAGGGAATTTAGAGGAATTTGTGTGGTATTTAGAGAAGTTTATGGTGGGGTATTTGGAGAAATTTGTAATGGGGTATCTGGAGGAATTTGCAGGAATTATGCGTAATAAATTCCCCTTTGAGGAATTTTTTGCACCAATTCTGGGATGGTGGTTTACCCCTTGGCATAATATGTATAAAAAATACTAAATTATTTTCCATTTTGCGCTAAAATATTACAGGAATATAAATTAACAAAATCCCTAAATCCTGACATAAATTTCCCTTTTTCCCTAATTACTGAAAATTTCCACAAATCTAAGGAGAAATTCCCTGATATTCCATCACTGACTTCAGAACATCTAGTACACTTATACCAGATATCTTTGTCTTTATATCAGACATTCATCATTTTGCATCCCGCCAATATCGTCCAGTTCATCATCATCACAAAGATTTTCAATATTCTCTCCATCCTCCTCTGATGAGCTGCTGTCAAAAACTTTTTTTTTAAATTCTTTATTTTCTGTAGGGATATTTCCCTCATCTTTCCTTTTCTTTAATTTCCGGCAGACTTTTTTATTGGTTTGTCGTTCTTCTCTTCCTTTCTTTTAAAAGCTTCTCTTGCCAGCTTCTTGCATTCCTTCTCCTCAAAACACATCCAGACATTTTTTAAAGTGACTTTTATTCCATTTTCAGTTTCCAACTCAAGATTTCTTTCTATTTTGTCTTGTGTCTTGTATAAACTCTGCCAACTGACTTTCAACAAGATGGTTAGTTGCCCCGCTATCTACCACAAAACCTATTTGATCTTTACTTATAAAACAGGCTGTTTCTGTTGAAAAAACAATATCATTCTCTTTTTTTTTCTATGTTTTGAGCATAACCACCTCTATAGCTGTCTCTAAAACCTTCTCTATATCCTTGATGACCTTTTGCGGAAATTCTGACCTTTCGTGTCCGATTTCATTATAGAAATGACATCTGAACGGAAACTGTTCATTTTGCTCTCAGCACTTACACTTAAACCTCCTCTATTGTAATGTTTTCCTTTAAAATTTACTCTTCTAAAATTTCCTCTATATCTTACCCCAAAAGCCATATTTGGGTTGTTATAATTATCCTCTTTAGCTTTTGACAGTCTTTGTTCTTCCATTTACAAATTGCGGCTTGATTTCGACAAAACATAATGTCTATTGCTGTCGTTACACTTTGGAAGGAATTAGAGCCGCTTTCCAGTGACAAATTTTAAGGTGCTTCACACTCGTAGCCTCACACTCTGGTGCTCCAAACAACTAAAACGCACCCTGCTTTAAAGCGTCGTGTTTTTGATGCACCCATAAAATTACTGCTTCAGAGGGCAGGGTAGAGGAGAAACGAACAGTTCTGTTGCGGGAAACTCTAATGCACTGGAACGCCTATAAACAGCCCGAGGCGCTCTGAAGCAGCTCATGCACATGAAATGCCTGGAGATCCCATGATATCCCAAGGATATCCATCTATATAAAGTTCCAAGAAAAAATCCACAAATAGAGTTTTTCTATCCTAAAAATTCATGTGTGACTACCTCCTTGTCTTTAACACCTTGCAAATCTCAAGAATGCTGCTTCAAACAACTTTGATTATGATTTTTTTGAATGAAACTTGAACTTGATTTTTGTTTGGAAAATTTGTCGAAATTCTTCTAGCACAGTGAATTTGTTAGTCATTTTGATTTCAACAATGTCAAACAAACTCCTATCAAATATAACATCATAATTTTCATCTCCGCAGGACATCATAATATGTACCATTATGCAACTTCATAGGCGCAACTAGGGGGGTGCTTGGGGGTGCTAAGCAGCCCCAAAACAGAAATTAGCACCCCCAATCGGCATTTCACCATTGCACTACCTAAAACTTATATAAAAATTTAGTGCAACCAAATTATTTATAATTTTTTATAAGTCATATCGTCTGTTATAAAATTTTAGTGCGTTGGACTTTCGTGGCATGCAGACATTTCAATTAATTATACAGGGTGTATATTTTAAGTGATACCACTATTGCTATATCCGAAACGGTAAGAGCTACAAGGTCGGTTAAATTAGAAAAAAGTTGCCTTTTTTGATGCACATTCAAGATTTGCTTACAGTGTTGTCAAATTCCTTTTAGTTTATGAAATACAGGGTGATTTCCAAAAAACGGTCAAAATTATTTCATCAATTATTTCGAAAACTATTGATATTCGAGACACCATTTCAATTTGAAAGTTTTATAATTTTTTTCGCTCTACAACATGGCACCTTCAAATTTCAAATCCGACGTTTCGTGATCGGGCTACCATCATCAACTTTATTTTTTTAAATACGGACCTGGATTTTTTATGTCATTTTTAGAAAACGCCCTCTATGCCGTCTTTAATGATATACCTCTTAAGTATGATTGGCCGACGTTTCTGCTCTAAAAAGTGATCATTAGTGATTTTTACCAAAATTTTACCCTGATTCGGCCCTAGTTGTGAACCTGTATTTCATTAACTAAAAAGAACTTGGCAACACTGTAAACGAATCTTGAATTGGCATCAAAAAAGGCAACTTTTTTCTAATTCAACCGACCTTGTAGCTCTTAACGATTCGGATATAGCAATAGTGGTATCACTTAAAATATACATCCTGTATACTGTATTTTTTTGCACTTTCTGTACGTACTTACGTCATCGATGACGTCATAACTTGGAAAAAAGGGTTTGTTGAATAATTTATAAAGCACATTCGGAATTATTGTTTTGTTATAAAAAATTTAACTTAGAATAGAGTTAATTTGAGTCATCCGCAAATATCTAAATTAATTAACTGCGTATTATACAGGGTGTTCCATCATGTACAAAAGGAAAGGAGTAAACATATCCCTCAAAAAACGAGGGGGTAACAATTAGTGGCAATACATGTACAAATTTTATTGCATGACAAAGCATTACATGTGCATTACGACGCATTA